TCCAGACTCGGCTAACGTGGGTAAGTGAGAAAGCCTGCCAGTAGCTTCTCGTGGGTCGGTGGTTCTTCGCAGGGTTTTTCAGGGTTCTTTCTCCACCAATAATACTGGCCGCCATGTATAGCCTATATTGTGCTGAAAATGACGTTAAACCCTATAACAACAACAACAGGGCCCAGAGTGGCCGAGTGGTCCAAATTGCTGTCCGTTACGTATCACTGCCATCTCACATCTGTCTGCGTGGGTTCGAGTCTAGGATTCGGCGAATGTGGATATGTAAGAAAGCTTGCCAGTAGCTTCTAGTGGGTCGGTGGTTCTTTCCGGTGATTTTCCGGTTTCTTCCTCCACCATTAATACTGGCCGACATGAATAGCCTATCGTATGCTGAAAAATGGCGTTAAGCCCAACAACAACAACAACAACAACAACAACAACAACAACAACAACAATTCCTTTACGTCTTTGAGCAGAATGCCTACGACGTTTAGAATGATAGAAATGGCTAAATGCAATTTTACACATATTTTATTTACATTATCAAGCTAAGAACACGTTGTGCTCCAGCACTGAATTTCAATGGGTATGTAAGTATGCTTGAATCTCCACCAGTCATCCTCAAATGTCGACAGAACATAAACGTGCATGGACTGATTAGTATTTTTCCACTGACAAACTCTTCCATCGCTTCTTACTGCATTACTAACACAAAAAAACTAGGATTTTCTTCGTGTCGTGCGGGTGATTAAACATGTAATATAACCTCGTCGCCACGCTGACCAAAAACGGGTTAGTGTCGAATTGTTTCATGGTGTCGATCTTGGGCGACACTTGCTAAGAGTGTATGAAATGTGACACTTTCTTAATACAGAACAGTAATAGCAGGACGATGACTCAATTTTGAGGATAACTTCAGATTAGGCAATGATCTTCCAAACCTGAAACACGAAGCTAGATTATATCATTCTTGGTATTAAACTATAGATGATAAAGGTAAATTTAAACAACGGTATCGATCCATGGAAGGCAACACAATCGAACACTTAAAGTACAACGTAGAGGATCGTTTACGAATGCCATGACAAACTGTTTGCATTTTTGTTGGTAAAACTGCTGCTCAACATCTGCTATTGGAAACATAAATTTCTTCGTAGCATAAATGAACTTTGTTCTCAGATATGTAAGTATGTTTTGTTGTATATTGGAAAAACAATAAATATATATACATTGTCTTGTGTTTTTGGTGCTTTTTCAGATTGTTTCAGACTACACTAGAGGTATTGCATTATCCTACGCTCCCAAAGAGATTCAAGCGAAATGTCCGATCGCCAAAGTTTTTGTTGTTGTTGTTGTTGTTGTTGTGTGTGTATGTGTGTGTGTCTGTGTTGGTAGTGGTGGTGGGGCCCTGTATGTTCGCTTTCCTTAGCATGATGATTACTGGACCAGACACAAATGAATTTACCAAACGTTTGACCGAAGACAAATCGCATTTCTTCTTTCGTCTTCCACAACGTATAGTGTGTGGTGTGACAGAGGCAATAATATAACACATTACTCAAAGGAGAATTCAATTCGTTTACGATGACGATGGGATTGTGTCTAGTCCTAAACATCTAGTCATCTTGAATGACATGTTAGAAGACGACGAAAACATAATGTGAATATTTGTATGCACTTCGGTAAAAGTATTTCACTTAAGAAAAGCGCATCACATCTTGAGTCACAATGGTGTTGCTTAAACGTCTAAGAGACAGTAAGGAAGACCTCGACTAAACAATACTTTATGACATTGCCATAAGGATTCCTGTTTATAAGCATGATGGGATTAAATTAAACCGACATTACGAAATATAATTGGCTTTGGCTATTACGAAAGGAGCAGAGGCTTGTCGGGTGGAGACAATTCAATAGGAGATTGAAATTAGCTCTTTCTCTCTCTCTCTCTCTCTCTCTCTCTCTCTCTCTCTCTCTCTCTCTCTCTCTCTCTCTCTCTCTATATATATATATATATATATATATATATATATATATATATATATATATATATACTTATATATATACTTATATATATATATATATATATATATATATATATATATATATATATATATATATATATATATATATATATATATATATATATATATATATACTTTTTTTTCAGCACACGATAGGCGGCCAGTATTAATGGTGGAGGAAGAAACCGGGAAATCACCGGTAAGAACCACCGACCCACGAGAAGCTACTGGCAAGCTTTCTCACATATACACATTCGCCTAATCCTAGACTCGAACCCACGCAGACAGAGGTGAGATGGCAGTGATCCGTAACGGACAGCGCTTTAGACCACTCGGCCACTCGCCCACCCCCAACGTTTTGGACTAATATGTTTCAACATTAAGTATTATTAGGTGAGCTGACTTTTTCAACTAACAGCTTCACCGGGGCTTTAAGACTAATAGACATCATTCCTTAATCTGTCGTTCACGGAGAGACGTAAATAATATAAATATATTGTAGTTTTCACAATCTTTGCAGAGCCGTTTGAAGAAGTTTGGAGCCCTAGGCACAAACTTTAACCTTAAAAGTAACCAGAACTGCGCCTCAATCTCTCAATCTCGGGTATAGAGTATGCATTGCATTTCCATTTGCATGTGTGTCATTTTGTTAAATTTATTAATATAGTACTAAACTGCTAACACAACCGATACCGAAATTTTGTGTTTGGGTTGCCGCGGCACTGAGTTCCTTAAATTAATAAATTTAGTGAGTGTTTAGTTTTAGAACCTATTTAATGGAATATATGGCATCATGAGCAAATAAATAGTAGCTTTCCCAATATCTTAAATGCTCTGTTATCGTTAATTAAGTGCTTGTTTTCAATCTATATCATCCAGAGGATTTGGGAGGTAAGCAGGTAAGAAAGGGTTCTGTGGGATGGAACCCTAGAAAGCGATTCAAGAGCATAATTTAAACCACCTAACAGTAAATTAATTTAATGCAATCATTATACATAAAACAAACAAACTTGTATGGTAATAAACTTAAATTATTGACATTCTTCACAATAGCATTCACTATTGCCTTATTGATATTCTTCACAATAACATTCACTATTGCCTTATTGACATTCTTCGCAATAGCATTCACTATTGCCTTATTGACATTTTTCACAATAACATTCACTATTGCCTTATTGACATTCTTCGCAATAGCATTCACTATTGCCTTATTGACATTCTTCACAAAAGTCTACACTATTGCCTTATTGACATTCTTCACAAACGTCTACACTATTGCCTTATTGACATTTTTACAATAAGATTCTCTATTGCCTTATTGACATTTTTCACAATAACATTCACTATTGCCTTATTGACATTCTTCACAAAAGCCTTCACTATTGCCTTATTGACATTCTTCACAAAAGTCTACACTATTGCCTTATTGACATTTTTCACAATAGCATTCACTATTGCCTAATTGACATTCTTCACAAAAGCCTTCACTATTGCCTTATTGACATTCTTCACAAAAGCCTTCACTATTGCCTTATTGACATTCTTCACAATAGTATTCACTATTGCCTTATTGACATTATTCACAATAGCATTCACTATTGCCTTATTGACATTCTTCGCAATAGCATTCACTATTGCCTTATTGACATTATTCACAATAGCATTCACTATTGCCTTATTGACATTCTTCACAAAAGCCTTCACTATTGCCTTATTGACATTCTTCACAAAAGCCTTCACTATTGCCTTATTGACATTCTTCGCAATAGCATTCACTATTGCCTTATTGACATTATTCACAATAGTATTCACTATTGCCTTATTGACATTCTTCGCAATAGCATTCACTATTGCCTTATTGACATTCTTCACAAAAGCCTTCACTTTTGCCTTATTGACATTCTTCGCAATAGCATTCACTATTGCCTTATTGACATTCTTCACAATAGCATTCACTATTGCCTTATTGACATTCTTCGCAATAGCATTCGCTATTGCCTTATTGACATTCTTCACAAAAGCCTTCACTATTGCCTTATTGACATTCTTCACAAAAGTCTACACTATTGCCTTATTGACATTTTTCACAATAACATTCACTATTGCCTTATTGACATTCTTCGCAATAGCATTCACTATTGCCTTATTGACATTCTTCACAAAAGCCTTCATTATTGCCTTATTGACATTATTCACAATAGCATTCACTATTGCCTTATTGACATTCTTCACAATAGCAATTTTTATTGCCTCTCCAGATAATTGTTGATTAACGGCAAGACTGAATATTTTTAATTCTGATTTTGTGGTAACCTGATGACATGACCACCACATGTAACACTGCAGTCGTTGATATGTTTGAGTTTACTTATTTGACCCCAAAATAATATATTATACTTCTCAAGATGACATGTTCTTCTCAACGAACCTTTGATTATATGATTCAAGCTCTTGTCCCAGCTTTTGAAATGATGAAATCAGTATGCTGATTATTAAAGTGTGGTGCTATTATCAGCATCTAAACATAATCCCCTGTCCTAATTAATACTTATAACAATATCATTTCTGTCGTAATTGTAGTTTCCTACTTAAGCTCAACAGTTTCTTTAAACAATTGTTTTTCATTCGCTGAATTTAGTCCAAAAGGCACATAATTACTTAGACTAGAGAGATAATTATTTAGACAGGACTGTTCATAACATGAGTCTTGAGGACACAAGTTTAATCATGCGTTTGTGTGTGTGTGTGTATGTGTGTGTGTGATTTGGTTTTTAACGTAGCATTAAATAACGTTTCAGTTCGCTACGTTGTCTGCAGTGTTGCAGTTCTATTGATTCTAGCATAGGGGCATAATGCTCCAGACATGTAACATGATATTCCACCCAATCATATTATCCTGACATCAGGCCGTCCCGTCCTAAAACTAACCTCTTAATGTTGAGTGCAATGCGAGGCAGTTGTTAGTTCCATTTTGTGTCTTTGGTATGACTTGGCTGGGGTTCAAACCAGCGACATCCCGCGTTCGAGGCGGACGCTCTAACCAGTTAGACCACTGGAGCGTTCCATACGAATCCAGCAGGTATATTATCTAATGCTATACTGAAGGATGTGATACTGCCGGATTCTTTTTCAATAAACTCTTCACGGTCTGATTTTTTTTAATAATGATTGGTTATAGAGCTTTTTATCCAATGAAAATTCATAAAAGCGTTTCAATCTCTATCAAAAAAAATATAACTGACAGGAAATGTAATTTTAAAAGCATTGATGCGACAGTGGTGAAAATGTATTTAAAAAATTGAAATAGTTTTTGCGTCAGTTATTATTGCCAAAAATACTAAGAATTTATTTGCTCCCTTCTTTGTATTTTTTTTTTGGTTTTATAACCATAAGTGTATTCATTATTGCCACAGTTATTTTGGTTTATTTTTATTCTCTTCCGATTTGTTTGATCAGTGTTTATTGTTAACTCTAATATCACTTTGTACTCTATAAATTGACAATTGACATTCACATTTGTTTTCCTTCCTGGTATAGTTCTTATATGATATATACTTCCTGAGAAACTAGTTATTGCAGCTGGTTTCTAAATCATGGTCCATAAATTTTAGTGATCTTGACCAAGGATTAATCTACTGTATTGTATGTTATTTGTGTGTGCTTTGGTGTTTTAATCATGCTATATGTTGTTTATTGTAGAAATGACCATCTAATTTGCATGACATCTTTTATCTGCTTTGTTTATTTACGTACAAAAAAGGTGAATGGTATATAGTTGTATAATTCTCTGTCTCTGTCTGTCTGTCTGTCTGTCTGTCTGTCTGTCTGTCTATGTCTCTGTCTCTGTCTCTCTCTCTCTGTCTCTCTGTCTCTGTCTCTCTCTCTCTCTATCTCTCTCTCTGTCTCTCTGTCTCTCTGTCTCTGTCTCTCTCTCTCTCTCTCTCTCTCTCTCTCTCTCTCTCTCTCTCTATATATATATATATATATATATATATATATATATATATATATATATATATATATATATATATATATAATCCCACATAATCATGAAGGCACGTCTCAATTTGTGCGTAATAATATCCTAATGCATGACTTTTCCCCATTTTTCAAGTGAAGCATTGAAATTTCAACCATCTTTGTTATTCATTGAAAAACAAATAGATCTATCAATAAACAAACACACAAACCAATGGATACAGAAACAAGTAATAACACGTAATAATTTTTCAATTTTCAAAGACTAAATTTAGTCATTAATATATAATTTCATACTGCTAAAAGCATCTCAAGAAAAGTCGTTTTTGACATTAGGCAACAAGTCATGTTCCGTTAAGAACTTGTTTCATTTTTATACACTGAAGATGAAACTTCTTTGAACGGTTCTCGCTTACATTCATTATCATCCCACGTCCTTCATCTCCATCACAAATACAATATTTGACTGTACTAATTAAGATTAATTTGTCAGCTGCCTTTAACAAAAGAGCTTTTTTCGGGAAAAATGTTTGTACAAAAATTTTTATGGCATAATACGCATTCTATGAAATTTTATTTCGGTAACTGATATTGTATCTCAAAGATCATTTTCCTGAAATGCACATTCAGCAAGCAAGACATTATTAGGGATATCGTACAAAATGTGTTTAAAAATATTAATATTGTATGTTTTCCAGAAACGACTGTATTCTGTTTGATAACAATACGCATGATTACAATTCAATATCATTATTCTGTCTTTCGATATAAGCCAGAGAACTTCCACCTTTATTTTTACTTTCGTGCTATAGGGACACTTCATTTCAAAAATAATGTATGTAGCCTATCATTTCGATGAAGTAAATATTCTTATTAATAATTGAATCAGATTTTTTTGGAATATACGTAATATCTAATCTTGAAAAAAGCTTGTTAGAGATTAAAAACTGCGGCACAAAGTGCCAGCATGTTACATTGTGGTTATTTGCATACACATGAGTGACATCTGTGAAAACAAACCATATTGTGAGGAGGTGGGGCCTATAAATCACTGATGGGTCATGATTAACATAAATAAATACAAAATACGTGGCAAAGACGGATGCATTAGTGACGACAGCAGTTATCTTTTTCATCAGAAGCACAAGTACTCACTGGCTGTAATAAATACCTAATACAACAGGGAGATAATTAGGTTTTCGAAATGTTATATAACTCATAATTTTCATCAGAATATAAGGCGCGTTGTAGAGTTGTGATAGAACATTAATCGGTAGTGAGAGAAAATGATATTTCAGAAGCGAATAGTTTATTTTAATATGCATTAGATATCTATCCGGCACAGGTAATATGGGTTTGGTGGGAATAAAAATCACAATCAATCACGTTTGCTGCGTTAACCCCTTTTTCAAAAGGTATGTATCGGTATTTTTGACTATCGTTTTGCTGTGGTAATTATTTTACTAAACTGACTAAAACTACTAGTCGAATTAAGGTCACCACAGCTTAGTAAGCAGAATTACGTGAAATAATTTTGTAAGAGAGTGTTTCTTGGATGGCCTATTTGAAGACTGCTTGGTTATGGTATGGTAAATGTTCGTGATCAGAAAAAAGTTTGTGAATGTTACTTGAAGGAAGTATCATTATGTTATTGTCATGTGCTTTGTTAACCGTAATTCACTTTTTAGGGAAGAAGAAATTTCTATATCGTAAATAATCAGTACAGAGAGTGGAATAAGGCTCAAAGAAGATATTTAAAGAAAACAAAGCCTCACTTTAGTCTTCACTTTTTGTGTAACGCAACACAAGCAACATAAAAAGGTACCACATTTCTTTATACATTTTGTATCAATTTCTTACTTTCCTTAGTGTGCTACTAAAATTTTAATGAATCTAAGTGCATTACAATTTCGTCATATATATATATATATATATATATATATATATATATATATATATATATATATATATATATATATATATATATATATATATATATATATATATGGGATATTTCACTGAAAGGAGTGAAAGCACTTCTTGTATCATGCTTGGATGCATTTTTGACGAATGGAACAACAACATGATAGTATGTTTGTAGTCTGTACACACACACACACACACACGCACACACACACACACACATTGGGTAGAGGAATAATAGTTTAATTTTAAGAATAAAGTTAAATATAAAGTTTGCCATGATGATTATACAAAATGTACTCAAATTTACTCAATATTTTTTTCGTGCGTTTTTATGAATATTGAGAATTTGATTAAATTAACCTGCATTTGAAGTGAAATGTAAGTATGTGTAAGTCCAAATGATGTGATCATTAGGGCTTTAAAGATTAACATGTATTAATTTTGCTTGTTTTCACTATGCAGATTTACATGCATGACACTTGATTAAGTTGCTATTCAAGGAAATAAGCCTTATCAAGAAGCACGCTTTAAGGCTCGCGTATCTAATAAGTATACAGTAAACCATCTGGTAACAATAAAAAAAATCAATGAGCTAATTCCAATTCTCGTGACACGAATCTTATCGGAGATAAAAGCAGGTCAATATCAAACCCGTTTGAAGTCATCATGCTAGACATACAATAAACTTACAAATGTTGACATACACTCAAATTTTCAAACTAACAAGACCAAATACCCCAATAATTCGTTTGCATTGAAACTGGTCGACTATGGGCTCCAAACATTTGGAACAAATTATCAAATTTGAAACCGATGGCTGCTTTTCTAACGTGGTCCTAATGGAAATTACCTTTATCATCAATGAGACATCCAAGTGGTAAAAAAGTGTTTTTTGTTATGGACATTTTACAATACTACATTAAAGTGAACATAAAAATTAAAGCTAAGAGCATTTCGGTAATGCTATTATTTTCTTGAATAAAACTGTCATATCTACCCATATTTACGTACCTATATCCACTTTATATATTGAAATATCCTACATTTGTCTCTTGACAAGGTACATTTACAATTCCATAATATATATGGCAATGTATTAGAAAAAAGGACGTAAACGCTTATACTCAGGATCGCAAGCTTTTTCGTGTTTATTTTTTAAAAATTTATTTTGGCAAATTGCCAATTGAATCTGAACAAACACTAGGTCAGAATAATATTCTCACAATAACTGGCTAGGGACATAACAACAGGGAGTCTAAGGACATAACAACAGGGAGTCTATGGACATAACAACAGAGAGTCTAGGGACATAACAACAAGGAGTCTAGAGACATAACAACAGGGAGTCTAGAGACATAACAACAGGGAGTCTATTGACATAACGACATGGAGTCTACTGACATAACAGGGAATCTAGGGACATAACAACATGGATCCTAGAGACATAATAATAGGGAGTCTAGAGACATATCAACAGGGAGTCTAAGGACATAACAACAGGGGTTAACGTTACTGAAAGGGTTAGAGTTAGAATCCTACCACTGGATAAGATCTGGCCGGCTATAGTAGCGCATCCATTATCCATGTCAATGATTCAATTGCCAGACTCTAAATAACCTACTTGTGCTGAAGTGCCGTAAACCAAACAGTCCGTCTAGCCTTTCTGCCCTTTTATTTGTATGTTTATACATAATATATCTGCACTTAAATCTCGTTTTATATAATTGGGTAATGTTTAGATGGCATGTGACTTGTTGATGATTTTGGGACGTTATCCTTACTCAGTTATCTGTAATGCACATATAGTACTTTGACTTTTAATATGATACGTTTCTCATAGATATGCGATAGCCTTTGAACTCTGTGCTTTCTATTTTATTTTGATATGTCACAGAGAGCGTGAATCATAGTTTTAACCATTCCATTAACAAAACTTGCGAACATTTCTCCTAAATTACTGTGTAAATGATCAGAAAGGTATTTTCAATACTGCGTCTCTCACGTTTGTTGTGGACATTGTGCATATCACGTTTAATCATTTGGTTAGTTGAAAGTTTTATTTGTGACTCAGCAAACTCGTCAATATTGTTTACATTATCATTTCTACTTTCAAACAGATGCTTTAGTTCATCCACAACAAATCTAATAA